TGGGGAGGGTGTGGGTCAGGTCAGGTGCATGGGGGTGTACAAGAAGTATGGATCAGGTGGGTGTGTGAGGGTGCGGTGTGGGTTGGGGAGGGTGTGTTGGGGGGTGTGAGTGGCTGGCGCAGCATGAGCACAGAGGGGCTGGGGGAGAGTGCACGGGTGGGGAAAGACTTACCCCAGTGACTTGCAACCTTCCCTGCCAGCTTCCCCATTGACTTTCTAGGGAAACCGGCAAGGAAGGTTGCAAAAGGCGATCACATGATTGCAGGGTGCTGCAACCAATCATAAGTGTGAACCGGTTGCCAAGTGCCCAGATCATGATTATCTGACTGCAGGGGTGCTGGGACAGCCAGAACTCTAAGGACAGGTCATAACCACCATTTGTTCAGTGCCATCGTAACTTTGAAGAGTCACTGAACAAATGGTCATAGGTCAAGGACTACCTGTATATTGTCTATCTGTGTGGTTTTCCTGGTAAAATACAGGAGTGATTTACCATTACCTTCTCTCATGCAGTATGAAATACCTTGGCCATTGTCACAAAAGTCATCATCCACCTCTAGCATTTTCTTGTATCACTGCTGTCCAATATGGGTACTTGCTTGCTATAGCTGGGCAGCTGGGATGACCTTCGTGCCCTGAGACCCTGCTGTGATTATATATTGTTGGAATACATTGCTTGTGTTCTTCGCTCATCCTTTCCAGGAACACCATGATGAAGCAACACAGGAGAATGTGAGAGGGAAGTTGGATATAAGTAAAAAAAATAGTGTATCAATCTTTAAGACATTTTTAGGCTAGCACATCGAAGTATGTGCCACTTATAGCTTTTCCATGGTCCATATTGTTCAGTGGACCATGTATTTTTTCATATCCCATTCTGGAAGCCATGGTACCCATATTATAGAAATATTTTATACAAAACATGAAAGTATAATAACAGAAGTAAACATGTGGGGATGAATTGTGTACATTCCTGCTTGAATACTATATGTGGTCTTTCCCACATGTTAATGTGAGTATGACAGTGTACATCCCTGTATGGCTGCATATGTTCCTAAATAGTTGGTTTAATGTAGTGCAATAAAGCTTATGTTCTACAGTGTAAAAAAGTTGCAATTTTATCTTTATTCATGCCAAATGTTTACAACTGAAATTGGCATGTACTAAACCCACAACATTATACATATTGATCAAACAACATACCAAAATTTTATTTTATGAGCCCTATTGTAACACTGATGGATATTGCAGTAAAAAAGAGTTAGTTGCAATAGGCACAATATAGGTCCTGCTGAGTTTTATAAGCCTATTATTGTTTTGCTATTATGAAGTATTATAAGTAACCAAAGATACATGGCAAAGTTAAGTACTGTGCATTGAAATCATACAGTATTACACACCACATCAACGTTAAAAATTAACAATATGGATTATGAAATCAAGCATATATCCCCTAAAAATACAATTTATTTAGTCTGAGTTCAGAATTTATGGAGAAAAATGTAAGCCTTCAAAGATCTGCATGCAAATTTTACAAACAGAAATAAAAACAGATCTACAACTCTACCTACTTCTCTGAACAAAATGAAATCTCTAAGATACTTTTTTTTAAAACCAGAAGCTGCTTAATTTTCATTTGAATTTGTATTTTATTGCAGAATCCCATCGCTTTCACAGTTAGGTTGTATTATAAATTTGCTACTATTCATTAAAAAAGCTTAATGGCAGGGGATATTCACATGAAATATGAGCAGAGATTAACATTACATTTTGGAATAACAATCTTAAAATTTTGAAAGAAAAACCTAACAGTTTCTGGAAATGGGACCCTGAGGCAAGTTGAAATAAAAATGATCAAAGTTAAAAATCCAGCAAATGGGCCAATAGCTTTTTAAGCAGTAGTTACAAAATCATCATCATCATCATCCATGATCTCACAAGATCTCATGCAAGAACAGAGAACTTGAAACATTTGGAATCACTAGATTTTGGGCATTTTTCTTTTTAAAGTGGAGTTCAGGGTGCGCTACTGTATAGTACTGCAGGTGATATAGCCCTTGCAGGTGCTACACTATCAGCCTCCACAGTGCTAAAAACACGGAACAGAGGATGGAAGCATGTAGCTGAAATATAATTAAAACATCTGGCTTCTTTTCCATTAGCAAATATTCTCCAGAGAGTTGATACTTTACTTTTAAAAGCATTAAAAACTACAGACTTCTTGAGGTCCAGCTTTAGTACATGATCAATTCCATGAAATATTTTAACATATTATGATTGATTGTTATTTTCTTTTGCCTGCCAAAACTTTAAAAAAAGGAATGCGCTGAAATATTACAAAATATATCATGCAGATAATTTGGCTTATTGTATGAAATAGCCACTGGCTTAACTCTAACATCTTTATACATTCATATGATAACTGTGTATGCGTTATCTGCAAAAAAAAAAAAGCAAAAGCAAATTGTGGATATTTTTAAAATGTCAGTTTACTTACAAAAAGTATACAGAGACTGAATAGAATGATTTCCAAGCATGTGTAATCATGGCAAAAAACCATGCCTTCCTGAAATGTAATTATGCATTTCATTATATATATATTTTCCTCCAATGATTACCTCAGTGAAGAAAAAATAATATATGTAAAGCAACTGATTTTAGGCCATGGAATAGCTTCTTGAAAACCTATTAACTGCAGTATAAACTATTGGCATCAGCAGCAAACAGCAATAATGCCAAGAAACGACACATGCATAGTGACATCATGCAAATGCTTCAATAATATACTTGCATCCTACCTTCTGACACAAGCAGATAATCTGTAGTATTTGCACAATGATGTCATCATGCACATGTCATCATTTGCCCCAGGTGTCCCCCTGTGGAGACGCCCATGGTACAAACTAGTGCTACTTGTTCTTCGTGCTGCTACTTTCTTCTGGCAGAATTTCTTTGGAGATCATGGTCAGCAGTTTCTGTATGGCCTATGGAAGCTAACCCACAATCTCTGTAGGGTCAGTAACCAATTTCGATCCATCCCATGATGTCTTAAACTGTTCAGGGACAGGAAATTCTTTCTGTAGGGAGGCAAGATGGACAATATCAGTTGGCTAAACAAGTATCTGTTACGAAAACAATACCATTTGATTAGTTTTATAGCTGAGGAATAACTCTAAAAAAGTAGCCTTTTCATTTCAGATACCATATCAATATCTTAAAGAGAATATGGGGGCATTTCTGCAGTTTCTATTGCAAGAATATCACCTCTTGATATAATTTTGTGGCAGTCATCCTATTCTTTTAAGTGTAAAATTGAAACTGAAATTAGATTCTCATTTGATAATAGCATAAATGCCAAAATATAAGGAAGTGCCATACTGAACAATTCTTGCTTTATGTGCCATTAAGGTAACCATAATTCTGTACTGCAATGTGACCATACAAGCATATTCAGAAAGTTTTATAAAAATAGTATATGACTGCCCCAAGACATGTTGTTGCCTGAAGAACAAAATGGTACCATCTCCTCTAGTCATATACATAGGTTGATAGGACTTACGATATGTCAGTACTGATAATGGATAACTTCTTTTACCATAACTGTGGCAGCAAGTTAGTTTAGGAGGCCTAAATAGATTGTATGACACATGCAGCTCTTCAACATAGGGTACGCACCTGCAGAATTTAGTTATTTATTCTGCTAATTCTATCTTGCTTCAATCAAGCAAATCCAAGCAGTTTACAAGTCCCATAATACAACAAGATCACTGTCACAACATTATGTAACAATAGTAACAATGCAAATTAAATCTTAACATTGTAGTGTCCACCTCAAAATAAGCATACCAATAATTCTCAGCTCCTCAGTTCCCAAGGGCTCTGCAAAATAACCAGTTTTTTTACTAATTTCTAGAATATTAAGGGGGAGAGAGCTGCTCTCATTTCCAGAGATAAATTGTTTCACAAGAGGGGAGTTCCAACAGAGAGCTGTCCCCACATGTATACCACACAGAATATATTATTAAATACATTGCCTCCAGAGATACTGGCTCAAAAAATGTATATGTTCTTTATAGTTTTTGTGTTTCTAATGAAACACCTCTTGATTTTGGAAGAATTCCAGTTCTGTATGCTACTGCATATGAATGAGGTTGACCACCATGGCCTGAAACTGCTCAGTTTAGTATTTACTTGTCTTTTGTCATCTGCATTATACAGTGTTTTAACACTTCTGCACATGTGTTCATCCCCTAAAGTTCTCTGCATTTATGAGACAATGAGAGCTAATTTGGGAATCCTATTTATACTTTGCTGTTGATACACATTTCTACACAGTGCAATCATAAACATCCTCAGATGTTTGTCTGAATGTGCAAATGCGTAAAACAGGGTACAACACTGATAAAAAAAAGGTTGCTAGGATAAGTTCTACTCATGTTGCTCAACACAGCAACAGCTGGAAAAGAAGTGGGACGCTCATATGTACCCAGCATATGCAGGTTGTTGCTTTATCCAATTTCACAGCAATATAAGAATGTAAGAAAAGACCATCTGTGTCACACAACACCCAACCCGATGGATTTAGGACATTCACTAGAGGGCAATAACCCTCCTCTAATGTTTCTCCCTAGCAACTAATGTACACTACTTGTGATTTTGGAGGAGGTAAATAACCATCAAGTCTAATAGCCACTGTTAGCCAATCATTCATGATTTTCACCAGCTACCAATTAAAATTGAACAGGGCTAGAGCCAATAATATTTTGGGATCAATTAGAACCATAGATCTCTGTGCCAGAACAAAAACCAAAACAACAAAGCCAGACAAAAAAGAAAAATCATATTTGGGCTTTCTCTGCTCAAAACCCCCATATGTATCAAGATATATTGGCTATAAATGCATGATATGGATTAACTATAATACTCACTCACTCAACACTCCTGTACCAGCAGCACATAACTACATAATTGTACATCTCCTATTCAGTTGTCTAAAAGCTCTGTTATGGTCTTTCAGCAGTTGCAAAGCAATCAGGGAGGCTAGTAGTTTCTCCTCTTCCTTTTAGAAGAGTGAAAAATAACATCAAAAGTTCTACCATAGCATAATCAGTACCCACACATCTCAATTTATGTCTCTTTTCCACCCCTCCCTTGTGAATACAGAGAGATGAAAACCAAAATGACTACAGAGGTATTGGACTTTCTTGAGCTTAGTTTCTGTCACAGAAAGCTGAGTGAATTAGCCATCACCATCCCACCATCCTGTTGTTTGGAAAGCAGAATCGACTGGAACAGTTATTTTATCTTCCAACAGATCCAAGGTCATGTGGAGCTAAATAATTCTTCAAGATTCCTTGACCTAGACATTTGTATATGTTAACTGCATTCCCCATCAAACAGTTAAACACTGAAGTTAAGCACTGAAGATGTTACCTAGGCAGGTAATGAAATGTTTGCAAGAAAACAGCCAAGCTCAGAGAACCCCAAGTTAAACAGTTAAACTTGTCATATAAATTACTCTTATCATGCAAGCTTAACAGGATTGGAAGTGTTCAATCCCACATTAGAGTCTTTAGGGAAATGCTTCATTTTATTTATTTACCAAATATGTATGCTGCTAATTTCATTTTGACTCATGGCTGCTTATGGCACTGAAAATGTCCATGGTATATATGGCAGTGTAAAACAATAAAATATCCATCATAAATATAAACATTAAAATATCCACATTAAACAACACAAGAACTTTTTGAGCCTAAAACTCTGGCCCATATTCCATATGTGGCACAAGTTGGTCTATTTGCTAAAAACAACTCTATAGTGGCCATACAACCCAAATTTCTGAGGACCATACTTGCTGTGCCCCAATATATCTCTAATGCAGTCTTCAGACAAAGTAGGGAAGCCCAGAATTGAACACATATTGGTTGAAATTTCCATTCTTTCCACTGTGTTTATCACCACTGATTTTGATAGATGAGTATGTTTTGTTATTGGACTTAACAGTTGGAAATAAATGAAATACCATTGGCTTATCTAAGGAGCAACTTATTTTTGCTGGCTTTGATGAGGTTAAAAGGATTATATACCAACGGCTGGAGGATGTAGAACTAACATGGAGCTCTAGAATGCTCATCGGCAGGAACCCCTGGCAATTTACGAAGTTATCCGAGCATTCTGACCTCCTCCAGTTAAGGAAAGAATTCTTTAGAGATAGGCATAATGTCTTACTTTTTGCCCTCCTAAGTGGTAGATATAACAAAATCCCTGTAGACAAATATTTATGCTTCTTTGACTCTGAAGAAATAGTCAGTTCAACATGATCTATTGTGACTATTACAAAGACATCTGAAAATGCCATCTAGTATCCCTCTTCTAGCATTCTCAGACAAAATTGATGAGTTTTATACCAAACTGCTATCAGATGCTAATTAAGATAGAACAAGGAGTGTTGCCACCTATTGTCAGACTGCAGTGAACACACAACAGCTGGTTTCTCTGCCTAATTTTAATGTTATTTTCTAACATAAACTTTCCTCTTAGTAAGTTATCTCTCATCAACTGAAATTTATTGTATGTATGTATTATCTGTAATTTGATACTTGATATATCCTATTACTCTAATAAATTAATACAGTCTCTTAGTACAATAACTTCCTGACAATATGCAAATGTACATGATTAACATAATAACAAGATGGCACTCAGGTACCAAAGGTCCTCTGAAACAATTAGGTCTTTACTGTTTACTGGGAGGCTAATGGCCAAAAAGGGATTGCTCCATAATATTGGTACTGCAAATAAAAAACATTGTCTCCTCAGCCTCCTTTATCTTATGGAAACGTGGGATTATCAGGACCTCTCCCATGATCTATAAACTGGACAGATTGGTACTGGTTGGAGATGAGAGTCCTGGAGACCTTTTGGCACACTTTGCATTGCATTTGGAAGTTCACCAGCAACCAGTTCAGAGCCTTGACCACAATTCAGGACCAATCAGGTTGCTGTGTTCTGTACCAACTGGAGTTTCTGAGAGGTCTTCAAAGGGAGCCCCATGAACAGCAGATTGCAGTAGTGTATGCAGATGATGCAGTGGGAGTTACCACTGCAAGGACCTCACCCTGCAGGTAAGGCTGCCCTGGGTGCACCAGCCAAAGGTGGGCAAAGGCCCTCTTTGAAACAGAGATGACCTCACCTTTCAGTAAGCCAAGGGCAAAATACCTGGGAGAGACTGTGGGAAGGCTAGGGAAATAACAGAAAGAATTTGGAATATAAAAAAACAAGAGGTAAGGATGAAGTTATTAGCAAATGGTAGATCAGTCAAGGCTGCACGTTCTCTAATTTGTTGTTGTTGTTGTTGTTGTTCAATTTAGTGTGTGGCATTTTGTGGAAGAGCAGGCTGCTTAGCAAAATTACAGGCACCTGTGCTGCCTTCCTCCCCTCCTATCTGAGCCTCCTCTCCAGCGTCAGCACAGCAGAGTTGCTGATAAAGCTGCAACCTTGAAACAGGTGGGGGAGGAGACGGCGTGTTTTGGAAGCTCTGCAGCAGCAACAAACAGAGAAAGCAGCCAAATAAAAGAAGGAGACTGAAGGGTACAGAAGAAAAAGAAGAGGCCCAGCAAAGCCAAGCACAACATTGGGGAGGTGCGAGTGCTTTACGTGCTGTCCATTAATGAAGAAGAAAAAAAAAAATAGAAGAAATCCCAGAAAGAGAGAGGATTTAAAGATAGATCAGGGTGGGTAAGAGTAAACTGCTATTGTATACAAGTAATAGTAGTAGTATAATAGTAATAATATACTAGTCATAGTATAATATAGCACAAAAGTAGAAGTAATAGTATAGAGTGTAGTATAGTAATAGTAGTGGAATATAGTATAGAGAAAATTGTATAGTATCATTAGAAATAGAGTGTAGGATAAGATAATAGCCATAGAAAGAACTCACACATATATGTTTGTATATTTCACTTTTGTATCTTGGATAGTTTTTTCCAAAATAAAATATCTCCCCAACCCTTATAGGGAGATATAAAGATCCAAGTGTTGAGCGTCCGGCACTTTTGGTGGATCTTTTGAGTCTGAGTCAATCAAAGGAACCCCTGACACATTCTACTGATGTGTTTTTATATTTCAATAAGCTGACCTACAAGACAATAAAATGAAGAGCAGTATACAAACGTTCCAAATAGGTAAGTATTAAATTAATGGCAACCTGACCGATAGAAAATTTAACTCAAATAACTGCTTTCTCAAGATTAAATAAATATTATTAGTGATACAGTACAGGATTCAATGTGTGTTTCAGTGGGTTTGTATTAGAGAAAAATATAATACTTACATAGTCGCCATCCAGTGGTATCAGGATATTCATTTCAGATGACTTAGCACTCACAATCTCACAATCCAATGATTCCTCACTGAGGTATATATGGCAGCCTTCAGTTTTATTCACTGAGATGGTTGGCACTTTCCCAAGTACCTAAGACAATAAAACCAGAAATCAAAACTAAATAAATCATTGTCCTCCAAAGATACTACAGGTAGTCTTCACCGAATGACCACAATTGAGACTGGGATCTTGGTCGTTGAGCGAAGCGGCCATTAAGTGAGATGCCCATGTGACTGCTTCGCTCAAGACCATAATCGGGGCACTCCTGGTTGCAGTCATTAGGCAATTTCCCGGGTTGTTAAGCAGGTGGAGTGAAAGAGCTGTCTGCTGAAGGATTTCAGCTCTGCGCAGAGCTGAAATCCTCCCAGCAGGCAGCTCTTTGAGAGTGAAAGGGCTGCCTGCCAGATAGTTTCAGCTCCACATAGAGCTGAAATTCTTCCGGCAGGCAACCCTTTTGCTCTCAAACAATTCTAAAGCTCACTGAAAGGTTTTTCCTCTTTCCTGGGGCTGGACAAACAGAGCTCAAATCTTCAGGATTTGAGCTCTGTTCCTTTCCACCGCCAAGGAGTTTCCCCTCCCCACTCAGTGTTGGGGAGGAATGGAGCTCAAATCTTCAGGATTTGAGCTCCGTTCCTGCACACTGCTGCGTCCCCTCTCCTTGCAACCTTCCCTGCCCGCTTCCGATGGGAAAGCTGGCAGAGAAGATTGCAAATGGCACTCACATGATTGTGGGGCACTTGGCAACCAGTTGTAAATGCGAGCCAATTGCCAAGCACCCGAAATGGGGCCATGTGACTGTGGGGGTGGTGCAATATTTTACAATGGCTGGAAGTGCTTTATGAACCATAAAGCATCCTTTCCGAGGCCCATCATAACTTTGAACCATTGTTAAACGAATGGTCATTAAATGAGGACTACCTGTAATCCCTAGCTCTGAAGATCAAGCTGGCCTGTCTGTAATTATCTTAACCTGACTCAGAGGAGAAAAACAGGATGTTCCATAACATGGGAGAGTTTCTTTGAACTAAGAGATATAAATAACTAAAAATAATATTTTTAACGCTTAAGGCAGTGATTGATTGTGTCAGTCCAAGCTCAGCTAATGTGGGGGACCCTTTCCCTCTATCCCATTTCCTTAATGTATCTCTGCCACTCAAAATACTAGTCTCAGAAAGGTGGGGAGATGGACCTTCTTACAACTGAATAGCACTTTTTCCCCTGTTTTAGATTTGTTTTCCCATATTAGTAGTATATGAAGATGGTTTACCTGTATCTGAATATCCTTGGAATTTATTACTTCAACAATACCAACAACATTGTCAAATACAAGGCCAAACTTTTTGCAGTTGTCTGAAAAAAAGAAAAGGATCATATAGAGAGCTTATTCAGTTATATTGTTTCTCAGATGAGATGGCATTTACTTGCCGCCTCTTATAAATATCTATGAATAGCTTTATTCATATGCTTATCTCTGCAGATTTCAACAAGACTGTCTTAAAGCATTATATTCAGCTTGTAAACCCCTTGTAGAATTGAGCAGTGCTATCCTACACTTGTTTATTTGGAAGAAGAGTTATGTCTCCCCCATGGAATGTATGCCCAAAAGACTCTAATGGACAGTGCATTCCTAATCATGTTTATTTGGAATTAAGTTCTGCTATGTACCATAAGACTTACTCAAGATAAATATACATGATATTTTAGCTTTAGTCTTGCCTAGAAGTGAACTTACCAATAGTAATGGAATTAACTTTTCCTTTTATCTGTAATGTAGATTTACTGCACTTGAAGATGTAAGCTACTTGCTTGAGTTCAGTGTTTGAAATTAATAGGTCATTCTTGTCCTCCTGGTACTCCTGCATTGTTTAAAAAAAAATTAATTGACCTTATATTAGTTATTACCACTTATGAGAAAGTAGTATTTGTACTTTCCTCCCAATCTCTACTATTTAAAGAGAGAGAGAGAGAGAGAGTAAAGGGGCGGCGGGGGGGGTAAGGTAAGGGAAAGTAGTAACCTCGACAA